CTCTTAACAGCTTTTGTTCCTTTCAATCAACTTTCTTCTTTACTTTTCCTCCTAGATCTGTTTTTAAAATCAATTCACTGACACATTCACTGAGAACAGTTAACGCTTCTAGAAAATTGTTTCCCTCTGTCATCGCCCAGTTTCAGCCCAGCATTCTTTAGGTCACGCATAGGTGTACTGCAGCACCTACCAATGGCAAATCAAGCCATTCCAGTAATCAGCCTTGTCAGTGCAAAAATACTGCAGCAGCAGGTTCTTCAGCAAGACAGCTTGGGCCCAGCGCCCGTCTGCCTTCTTCCCTCGTCCTTAAAGTACTGCCGTGGCAGACTGGAAATGTCTCTTTCCCCTCTGGCATCAGCAGCTAACAGAGTGCAAGCATATTTGGTAAACACGCCTCTTGCTTTAGCCACCCTGCAGTTTTAAGGGTAATATCCATTTTCCCAGCTATGAAGTCATCTTCTACCTTTCCATGTGTACATAACAATAGAAAACATTTTTAAAATTGCATCCATTATTAGTACGTGTTGATCTTACAGTTCTGCTGCACTGGATGTTCGCTAATTCAGAGAAGGAAATTTAGGAAGTGAAGGTGGTATCTGCCTTCGCGTTGTTTTGTCTTTGCGCTGGCCCCAAATATGTTGGTAATTTTGCATTGCTTTCGTTTGGGTTTGTATTTTTCTTACAGTACAATTGTACTCTGGGTAAACTTGGGAACACAGCGCTGTCAATGAACGCTAAAATATGTCGTAGGGTTTCAGGCACTGAGCCAAAGCTTACTACAGCTGTCAGTTCTTGAAGTTCTTCATTAGCTGATTTTGTGACTTGGATCTGCTTGCAGTACATTTTAAGCTTTTGAAACAGGAGAGAGAACACCTGAAATAAAATCAGAGATTAATGTGGTTAATCTTGTCTGGTGGTTGCATTTCTAGTAACCTAGATTTAAGTTTAATTATTCATCTCCAGGGAAAGCACTGGACAACAATGCTAATGCCTGGTATAAATGGTATTTGTTGCTTCTCGATCATTGCTGGGAAAACACTGTTGCTGTCACAAAGAGGTTAGAAGGAAACGTTTTCTTTATTACCAGTGATGTCTCTGGCTTATTTGCTAATGCTTGCTGCAACACTTGTCATTCCTGTAGAAATACCTGTCATATGACAAACTGGTTACATTTCTGTAGCGCACAACTGACTTTTAGAAATGTGTAAAAAAAACCAAAATCCAGAACTGAGTGAACTTAGAGACATTAATTTCCTGCCACAGCAAACAAGCAGTTGGTCTGCAAAAAGTCTAGAAGAAATCAGGAGGTCAAACTGAGAAAAGGAAGAAAAAGTAAGCTTGGAAAAGAAAGAGGGGAATCCTCTGATGAATTTTATTTGTATGTTGCATATAAAAAATGGGGGAGGAAAATCTGTTTTGTGATTAGAGATCAGAACTGTGAGATGAAGAGCGTGGTTGCTATTCCCAGCTATGGCATAGCTATAATGCATAGCTATAGCATAGAATAAATCTGATCTTCAGAGGTGGATTTCTATGACGAAATCCCTTTTATCCTCCTGAATCTCAGGCAATCGTCCCCATGCTCTCAGAAAGATTGACTACATTTTTACTGCTTCTCAAAGAACAGACTGCAGACCTGGAAATTTGTAACTATTGCCCTTATATACATTTTAGGACCCTAAAAATCTCTCAGCGAGTTGCAGACAAGGAATATTTCTCCCTTTTGTAAGGTGGCTCCAAACAGATTCCAACCACCTGTACTTGGGAACTACATAAGGGGAATGTGCAGATGCAGGTCCTGTGTTCATAGGTCTTAAAAAACATTTTTAAGCACCTTGGGATCTTTCAGCAGGCGAGGTCTACTTCAAATGAGAGCATTAGCAGCCGGTCAGCAGAGGTTCTTTTGCCTACTTTCTATATGCTTTTCTTTTCTTTTTAACTGTTTCCTTTTTTTCTTTGTAGCTTTCAAAGGACATGAAGAAAAAATGGAAGTGAATAAAAAAATATTCGCTTGCCTCTTTTCGTCTTGAACCTACTTCAGCTCACTTGTCTTCTGCCTGTAATACCCAACCCAACCTCTTTTTCATGCTCGAGTTCTCACCCTGCATCCTTCAATGTCTGTCCTTGTAAATTATTGTTAGGCATTTTTGCTGCCTTTAATGATTTCATTTTGAGGAAATGAAGCTCATACCTCTTCTCTTCAACTTTTCTATTGTCTGAGCTATTTCATGAAGAATTAGATCTTTTGGCACAATCTCTCTTTTGTGAACGGCTCCTGCCTGTCTGTAATCCATCATAAACCTTTCTTTTTTTTTGAAATCTCTCCCTGTTCATCAGTTCCTGTGTTCTCCCCACTGTTCTGTTTGTATGATCGATGCAATATTTGGGGGTCTTAGAGATCCAGAACTTCTTAATTATAACTCCTGGATTTGCTATTGTTTGTATCTTCCAGAAGCACTTTCTTAGCAGATATTTCTGCCATGCAGCTTTCAGAATTTAATTCAGTAATCAAATATCTTTTGACTAAAAGTGAACCAAGTACGAAGTCTGTACAACTCTTATGGGTGATACATTTAGTTCCACAAACTGTGGAATATGAAATAGGGAGCGCCAGTTGGACAAGTGGGTATGCACTTACCGCTTCCTCCTCGAGCAAGGCAGATTGCAGTTTTCTTCCCTAATTGTTTGGATATCACCCAAATGTAAGTCAGTCAAGTTTTGCAAATATTTTAAAATCTATATTGGTGTCATAAACTCTTTGCCTCAACTGGAAGGTGATCTTCTGTGTAACATCCTGTTCACTCATTGTTGTAGGTGTGATGGCTGGAGTCTCAGGTTTGAGGGGGCGCAGTAACAGGGAGTCTTGGAAGTTGCCAGGGAAGTTGGTTGTCAGTCATTCTCATCATCGCCATCTGACGACAGATAGGCAGGAGTTCAAAATGTCAAATGAATATGATTTTTTTCAAGTTGCCATGAACAGGACCAAAGAGCCAAATATTGTTCTTTGTATTTCCAGATTGGTGCTTCTCTGTTTGCCAGTAACATTGGCAGCGGACATTTTGTGGGAATAGCAGGAACGGCAGCAGCTGGAGGAATTGCCATCGGAGGATATGAATGGAATGTAAGTGGCATGCATTTAAGTGAATGTATTTGTGACATGGGGATTATCTGCAGAGGTTAATCAAAATAACATTGCCTAACAATTTAGGACTGTCAAAGTTTGTGCTTGGCAACCCTTGTTTTCTGTACAGACCAGGAAGTGCCAATGTAACCTACTGTTAGCTCGTCCTCCTTGGTCTGTGTCCGAGCCACTGGGAGAAGATGATCGTTTTCTGTTGAATTAGGCTTTTTAGAGAGCATTTGAACCAAATAAATGGGTGGATTCCCTTCCCTATACATATTTTCTGATTACTTTTAAACTATTTATAAAGAGCACTTTCAGACTGCAGGATGTTGGGAAGAATTTATCAGTTTTGTAATCCATACTATTTTTCACAGCATTTTGCTATGTAGGAATTGTTGAAGGGGCTTTGATTTCTTCACAGGCTATAAGAAATTTTGGACATCCTTCACAACAACCTGCATTCCAAAAATCTTTTCCTCTTTACTTTCTCTTTCCTCTAATTATGTGTGTGTTTTGCTCATGGTTGCAGTATAGGGTAGAGATATCCAAGCTGACTTTAAATGAACTACTTGCCGTACCAGGAGTAGTGTTAACTGCAACAGCACGGAGATTCACATGAGCTAATTCAATCAAATTTCTTGTGTTCTCAGGTTCAGTGGGTGTGGATAATAATGCCCTTGTTCTGCTCAATTTGCCTTTGTGGAAGGGATTATACCATGACACAAAGGACTTAATGAGCGTACATAGGCCGATCCTTTCCTTTCATGTAATTCTGCACAGTGAAAGAAGCATACCACCCTGAGGGATTTGGCTTTTTTCCTTAGCAAGTAGATGGTTGCTGCAAATAGCCAAGTACTCATATGATAGAAATGTTTAAGAAAGGCTAAAATGAACTCTATGAGATGTGCACAGTTAATCTGTCATCTTTCTCTATTTGCTTACACTAGTCCTGTAATAAACCTGATTTCCCTTCTCTTTGTACCAAAACCAAGCAAAACGAAACAGAACAAGCATTGCTTGAAATTTCATGGTATTCAAATCTCTAGGACCCATGTCCTTCTTCAAACATGTCCACCTCTAACACTTCATCTCCTGGGAGATTCTCTGTGGACTAATATCAATACGCAGTGTACAACAATTGTTGTTTAGGAAGAAGCAATGATGCATGTGTGTATTTGAGCAGATATATTACATAGTTCATTACTTATGACATAGTGGGACCGGTGTACACGTTAATAGACATGGTGGAAATATTGCTCTTGGCTCTATAATTTGATTCTCCTCTTGAAAGAAATACTAAGTTTGACTGTTATCATGCTTGTGTATCTCTATTATTCCATGGAAATTATTTCTAATTTGTGTCAGTATGGCAGCAGAAGCTGACCCCGTATTTCTTGTCCTTCTTATGGTTTTGATCTAAGGGCAGAACTTAAAAGATACAGTTAAAAATGCCCTCTAAGCCCTGTGGACAGAATAAATGCAGGGTGCAGCTCTGAGAGCAGGATTTTGTTCTATATTTGTCAATTTAAATATGTACAACTCTATATCAGACAGCATTTGCTAGCCATTTAAGTCAGAAAACTGTGACACTGCAATACAGTAAGATCTATAGTTCACAAAATACACATGGTGACACAAAATATATTATGAAATTGTAATGTGGAAATACAAAATATTGTACTAAATGTGTGTGCTGCATCCTGTACAGTATGTGGGATTATTGTAAAACATACGGCCATCTCACAGAGACCCAGCGCAGAAGGCAGTTAATGATTAAAATAATAATCAAAAGAAGTGCTGCTCTCCCCAGCACCTAGATTTGCAGGTGTCACAACATACCATTGCAGCATACCTGATTCTGAGTGGGAAAGTATCCTGCATTAGTGGCTCTGGGATCAAGATGCTAGCAAATAGGCCTCATGTAGTAGACTTCACCTTCCCTAATATTTCCAAGAAATGGTAGTCTTATGGGCTGGTTGCCTTTTAACCATCATTAACCCAGGCTCCCTGGGCCTGCTCCAAAGAGGGCTAGGATAGTCTGGTGTTGCTAGTGGAGTGGTGCTTTGATACTAGAGGGCAATCCTGGGAGCAGAAATCGGCTGTTTTTCTAGAAAATGGATTATTATCGTGTGTGCTCCTCTGGGACATCTAGCGTGAAATCCAGGCTGCATAATACCTGACAAATGTTTTGGCCAAGATTTCATTCCCGAATTTTCAACTGTAAATCAAAGGACAGAGCAGTTGCTTCTCCCCCCGAGCACCGCAATACCCAGGTTTTTGTGGTTTCAATGGTCTCTAGCTGCTATGGGGTCTCATAAATGGTCTTCAGGAGTGCTATCTAGAGAGAGGAGGCTAATTCAGCTGATCTTGTCTTGGCTGCAGGCTCTGATACTTGTGGTTGTTCTAGGATGGCTGTTTGTACCCATCTACGTCAAAGCTGGGGTAAGTCAAAACAGTACCTTAAGCTTTTCTTTGCTGCTCATATTTGCGGATCAGGTCTTGAATATTGCAAAGCTGTTATGAATGGCATGAGATCTGAGCATGCTAGAACTGTACTGTATTATGTCTGTACATATTTGAAAAGTGAGGATTCTCTGTTCTGAAACCTGAGCTGAGAAGTACTTGGTGCTCTCTCCTTGTTCTCCTTTGATTCCTGGAGCTGCTCTTCCTTGCAACTGCATTTTCAGCTCCCCTCCCTTTGCCCTCCACTCTTACAGTATCTGAGTAGCAAAAAACTTGCTCTAATTTGCTTTGTATCCATTCCCCAATATCTGAGACCTGATTTACCCTCCCTGCAGGTGGTGACAATGCCAGAGTACCTGAGGAAGCGTTTTGGCGGGAAACGGATTCAGGTCTACCTGTCAGTCCTTTCTCTGTTGTTGTATATTTTCACAAAGATCTCAGTAAGTAAAACTTTTACAGCATTTCTTCCATCCTACATTGATCTTAAGAAATGAAACTCCCATTTACAATATTGCTCAGACAATTGGTCAGTTGTTTCTGATTTGGAGCCCTTGGCTGAATTTAAGGACTGTAGAACTATGATTTTGTGTTTTCTTCGTTCTGTTTAGTGAGACTGTGTATCCAGATCTGTTCTCCAATCCAAGTTTTTTCCTTCCTGGGAATGTCTCTTGATGCTTGTTGTGCTTTCTCTTTCTTTTTCAGGTTTTAAGGTTTACTTCTACTTATGCTCTCCTCTAGAACAAGTCAGAGTGGAGGGAAACTTGTATTGTATTGCAGTCTATTATCCTAGGGATCCGTGAAACACGTGGCAGGAATTTTTGTCCCCAAACTCCATATTTATCTGGTTTAGCATCCTCTGGTGAACATGCCATCAGTAATACACATGAGGGAAAAGAGCAAGAGGGGCAGGGAGAAAAAAAGAATAATAGGAATTAGAAAATAAGGGAGTGGGGAAATGAATGCAAAGGAGAGAAATTATAACAGCTGAGGTGAAAGGAGGGAAAAGGAGAGATTCTTTTAATGGGCAAGCGTATTAAGTAAGTGGTTGTGTTGCTGTGAAGTAGTGAAGGGAGCTGGTATTTTCCATATATCTTGAAACTACCAAGCCTTTAAAGAAGTCCACAGTTCAGGCATACCTCAATCTGTTGTTTTGCAGAAGTTGCCATGGCAGATTACTCTTTGCCCTCTGAATGGGAGCTGAGTGATAATGGTGCAATTTAAGCTAAAAGATTGGCCTTTTGCTCTCTTTCTCACATCTTCATGATAACTGTTCCTTAGAAAGGTTATAAATTAAACAGGTTGGTACGGTGGAGCTGGCCTCAGAGTTGGATTTCCGTATATTTCAAAAGGATTAGTTAATTTGCTGTTGTGCTTAACTACCATAATCTGAAATCCCAGGTACGACGCAGAGTTCTGGCAGCTCTAGGAGCTAAAAAGCTCTTCCAGTCAGATGACTCACAGTCCTGTTCTGCAACACATGTTTGTAATGAGCTCGTCAAGGTGTTATGTAGGTTCTGAATTTACTCTCTGTCTTTTATTTCCTGCCTCTATCATGCCTAAGGGACGTGGTCGTGGGATTTCACCCTGTTTCACTTGGAGTGTCTTGCTTCCAGGCAAGACAGGTTCTCCATTTAAGCTTCCAGTGTGGTCAGGAGGCTGAAGCAGCCTCTCCTGCTCTTGTGGTCCTGTCTTGTTAGGGAGCAAAGCAATAGGCAAGAGATCCATCCAGCAGTAGATTACTTGGGCCCCACTCTACCAGTGGCCCATCCCAGCTTCCCATCAACCCAATTATTCCAGATGTGTGTGGGGAATTGCCATGGAGCTGGGTCTCTGTGCCATGCAGGGGAAAACTCTGGTGCACCAATTCCTCTAACCGTTTCTCTTGTTTCCCCCATCTGCCAAGACCAACTCTGACAGTGTCCGTCCCATGTACGAATGTGGCTCAGATTTCTGTAGTATACAAGTGTACCTTCTGCATTGTTGTCTTATGTCACTATATTCGGTAGGGCAGGATTTGCCCCGGTCTGATTTACTTGCCATATCTTATTCAGAATAGTCCAAGTCTTTGGAGGTTTCAGGTACTGTCAGAGGATGTCCGAGTAGGTTTTTCTATACCGTGCTATGCAACACCATGCCCAAATTGTCGCCAGATGACCCAGCTCCAGAAGCAGAAAGGGAAGGGCCATTCCATCCTGGACCATAGCTAACTTCTTTGTGCTGTGTAGAGGTACGCATGCTATGTGAAGCCTTCCCAGAGGCACGTTGTATACCCAGACATATCCATGTGTTGACAATCCATGCCGTAGCTGGCTTGGAGATTTGCATTTTACTTCCTTGACTGCTGCCTTTGCAAACACTCTGTTGTGATCTTTGGGGCTTATTGAGATTTGATATAGAAGGATGAGTTTCTGCCCTGCCCTTGAAGGGCAGTCACACCTATCAGTTTCACTGGCAGCAATACTTACTGCCGCTTGTCCTTGCAGAAGAGTGGTATCTTGTTTCTCCAGGTAGTTATTTCATGTGCTGCTTCCTTGATGTGTTAAAATATTATCTAATGCTCTTAATAATATAATTATTATGGTGCTTTCCAATGAGCAATATAATACGTCATGTCATGTAACTCCTGGCATGCTCTTTCTGGCACAGTGCTCACCACCGCGTGATGATCAGATTCCCTTTGCACACCTCTGTACAAGGCGGTTACCATTTCTCTCTTTTTCTGCACATTTTCTGTGTATTTTTTATTGATTTTTCACCTTGTTTTGTGGCTAATCAACCACTTGCCAGACAAGGCCATGCTGCAGGGTGTTGATCTTTGGGATCAGGACACACGTGATCTTTGAGGCCAAAGGATTTCTGTCGCACAGGTGCCCCACATGTACATGCTTCCTAAGCATGCAGTCCTTTGTGAGTAATGCCCATAGCAGCTTCCAGGGGCTTGCTAGCCACTAGTGTGGCTGACATTGGTCATTACGCCAAAGAAAATGGCCTAGTAAAAATAAAATCTTGATGGAGAGTAATTGACTAAATTATGACAAGACAAAGGGAATTAAGACCTGAATGCTTCTGAAGAAATCAGAAATTGTAAACCGGAATTTCTAAATGTATTACAGCATTTTCTTTACATTCATTGTGCCTAATTTCGGTAGTAAATGTACGGGTATAGACTTAGCAGGTGGAAGAGGAGGTAGAAGGACAACCTCCTCTCAGGACTGCATGATATAGGGGGTAAAGAGTATGTGCCACTGCCCTGACTCCCACATTACCATTGCAGCTGGATTCACTCCGTTGGCATGTGCTCTGCCAGTTGTTCCTGCGTGATCTGTGGATGGCTTTGGAGAGATAGCCTGCAATGTAAAGGAAAGATTTACTCTATTCAGAGATAAGATAAGGATTAAATAGTGTCCATAAAAGAGTATCAAGAAAATATTGGAAGGAAATTATCTAATTGGGAGGGAGGAGTAGTGAAGTTGGAAGGTAACTTAGCAATTCGAAGAAGCTGATATATTCCTCAGGATGCTAGATAACAAACCGTACGTTTCTTTAGGGAGTTCATTTTAGGACCATTAATATTTAATGCTGTGTAGGCTAAACTAAAATCAAGAACAATAAAAGAAAGATCGGGACAGAAGCTGGTCAGTGGTGTGAAAAGATAGGAAAAAAAAATATTCCCATAAAGAGAACGGACAAAAGGTATGGTCTAACAGCCACTGGGCTTAACAGCGAAACATCCTGGTTCTCAGTTCCAGACTAAAACCTGTAAGAAATTAAATCATCTCAAGCTGCTCCAGAGGCAGAGTTTTGGGAGTGGGCGCTCTGCTGTGATTCACACTCAGCTTCGCAGAGGTCCGTACCTCTTCCTCGTTCTTCAGAGTGAACTAAGGGTGAGATCATACCCTGCAGTCTCGGTTTCAGCCTCTCTGGAATGAAGAGGGTTTCTTCATCCGGCATCTCCCAGCTAGCCAGACTGCATAACTGCTTATTAGTATATCTGCCCTGCCTTACCGCAGCCTGGCCATGGACAAAAGCGGTGCAAGTGCCTATTCTGTGATCGCAGGCTCTGGTTGTCCCACAGCCTGGCCTGTGGAACCTCCTGCTCCGCCAGCAAGCTGCCGCCCAGCAGCCGCCCTGCAGGAATTGTGTGTGCAGGCTTTCCCCCAGGGCACACACAATGCTGGTTATCTTTGTTTCTCAGACCCTGCATAGGGGCAGTTCCCGCAGCATTTTGCAGCTCCTGAGCTTGCTGCACACCACTAGGACTTGTAACGTTAAATGAGGCTAGGACTCCCTGTATAGAGCCCTCGTAGAGGTGGTGTGGTATCCAGAAAGGAGGCATGCAGGTGGGATTGGAGATGAGCCCGTGAACTGGATGCTCAGGAGCAAGGATAGGTACAGATGCAAACCTCTAATGAAAGCATAATTTACAGTAATGCATTACAGGTGCACTGGGGTAGATTATTCTGATTGCAAACTTGGATAAATAACATTGATGCAAATTATCTCTAAATCAGGAACTGATGTAATGTGATTAAAATCCCAGAGTGTTACTCTGAAACCTGAACAATTCCTTTCTTAGGCAAGACCTAAAGGGCTGTTGGCCAACTGATGTCAATTATTCTGACAGGGACTTAAAAATAGAGAAGTATGTTTGCCTTTGATCACCATTTGTCCCAAACCAGCAAGACTAGCTATACCACATGTAGGCAAGCAGTAAAGAAAAAATAAGAGACTTATAGAGTAGCATTAAGGGAAGAGAACCATGCCACATCTTGGAGGTGTCACAGAGCCCACCCCTGCACATAGCAGCAAGTGTAACCTGAGCTTTAAGTAATTTGTTATTAAACTGTCTCTCAGTATGTAAGCACGAAGTAGTGAGGGGACTCTGTGTCTAGCTAAAATGATCCATTGAAAAAGACCTGGAAATTCTTTGGGAAGTGTTACAACTCTTGTACTGAGAGCACCACAGCACTGAGAGGAGGCTGGCAGCTGTACTAAAACGGCCTCTATTTTATTTTTGATTTTTTTTTTTGGTGTGTGTGTGCAGTACTATAAGGGGCGGAGTTGTGTATTTCAGTACCCTCATCGTGAATGTGTAATATGCCATCATCATGAATTTAAACATTGCTTAATCTACTATTTTTTCTTTTATAGGCAGACATATTCTCTGGAGCTGTATTTATACAGCTGGCCATAGGGCTGAATCTTTATGTGGCCATAATTATCCTGCTTGCTATTACTGCTCTTTACACCATCACAGGTGAGTTTGATAAATCAAAGAAGTTAGGGGAGCCAGAAAAAAGATAAGAGGGGAGGTGGGTAAGAGGGGAGAAACGGAAACCTGAAAGGGGAGCTATTTACAGTGGTCTTTGTTTGACAGAGAGGTGGTGAGAAAAGTAAAAAAAAAAAAGAATTTCCACTGAGGCATTTGCACAGGGGCTAACCTATTTGTCTTGACTTTTCTTTGCCATTAGGTGGCCTTGCAGCTGTGATTTACACAGACACCTTACAAACATTTATCATGGTAGTGGGATCCTTTATTCTCATGGGATTTGGTAAGTAAATCAGATGAATTAAACTGGAACGTTCAACCACAAATCCCATAGTGGCTATGGAAATGGAACTCTGTTGTTTTAACCAGCAGATTTCAGTTCATATACCTGTTTATCAGGGACAAAAATAGGCATGTTGCCAAAAACCAGGCATTTTGCCAAGCCCTTTAGGCACTGAGACCACTCCAGCCCCAAAACACAGGTGAATGCGTAAGGTGATATATAGCATCCCATGACAGAACAGGACTTGTGATGGCTAACCAGGTGAAAGCAGAGTTGTGTGCAGGTGATGATGATACTCTTGAGAAGTTCAGAGAGTATCTTCTTTCAAGAAGATTATAATTTAATATTCAGATGCTAATGCATGAAAATTTCTGATTCAGTGTGAAGAGCTGTTGGTCACATTGCATGTTTTTAACTTGTTTCTGGCTGCTAGCTTGTGTTAAAACAACCCAAACGTATTAACATTTTAAGTAAGCCTTGTAGTTAATCTATGGATGACATTGTATTGCCAGCTGGACAGAAGATACGAACTGAATGTTTATGAATAGGACAATGTGTGTGTCCAGAAGACCATATGCATTTTAAAAGAGAAATCATGCTGTTAAATAGAATTAATAGGAAGGGATCATAAGAAAGAAAGAAGTAGTGATAAGACCCCATGAATGTGTAGTGTCCTTTCCTTACCCTTCTAGTTATTCAGCACTTGGTTTTCCTCTAGCTAGGTCTTTCACTGAAATTAAATTATTCCACCTTTTTTACAACAGAAATAACTGCAGACTGACCTAACCTGCCAAGACCCTGCCTTAGGTTCTCCCTAGGTTAACAGTGTGTGGAAATAATGTATCTTCATTTCGGTTCTTGGCAAGGCATGTGTAAGAGATGTTGAGACAGTGGAGCCTAAACCAACGTTTGCGAGCTATACAGAAACCTAAAAAGAAAGGTCACTTTTGTACTTGGATTGTGTGAATACATACAAAACACTGCATACTGTTTTCTGAAAATGTTGATGTATACTGGCTAGAGTTTTTTTTACACCATATTAAGGAGGTTTTTCTCCTCACATTCTCTAGCTCTATTTAAGATTTCAGTATTAAATACTTTATTGCTACTTTTACTTTCTATTTTTCAGCATTTTCTGAAGTAGGAGGGTATGATGTTTTCATGCAGAAGTACATGGAAGCAATTCCGTCCAATACCTCCTATGGGAATACTACGATTAATCCAGAATGCTACACTCCCCGGAAGGATTCCTTTCACATCTTCCGAGATGCCGTCACTGGAGATCTGCCGTGGCCGGGGCTCGTCTTTGGTTTGAGCATCATTGCTTTGTGGTACTGGTGCACAGATCAGGTAATGTGGGAGCCATACGCCTTGGAAATGCCGAACACAAAACTCTGCAGTCTAGCGTGCTCTAGGGGTACTCTTCCCCCACTGTACTGCAACGCTGGGTCACAGAAATGGCAGTTATTTAAGACTGGTCAGTGACTTTTCAGTTTCTGGTTTCGAAACCCCTCCCACATATCAGAAAATGGAAGGCGTGTTCTTTCAATTCCTCTTATACACTGTGCCTAGCAGACACTGTGTATAATTCCTTTCTTCTTTTTTTGTGTGACCATGTGTAGAAACAGAGTTTGTAATGTGAACATTTACGTAGGAAACCATGCATCAAATGGTCCTCGTTAGACAGGGTCTAGGTATGATTCCCCATTCAGTAATATGAGTTTGTTTCCTATTTGTGCTGCTTTCGTCTTTGCATGCACAGTCTTGGGAGGATGTTCTTTATACATCAGGTCTTTCCGTCTGGAC